AAAAAAAAAAAAAAAAAAAAAAAAAAAAAAAAAAAACCACTCCTGGTTGACTTTCTGGGCCCCGTAGAGGAAATGGGAAGAGAGATAGATAAATAAATAAAGAAATAAATAAATAAATAAATAAATAAATCACCACACATCTGTTTTTTTTTGGGGGGGAGGGCAGTTTAAATACCCTGTGAGTGGTCTTGGGCATCTCTTGGGGAGGAGCCATGTTTGGGTTTTTTTTTATTTATTATATTCTTTCTGCGTGTGTGCCTGAAGGCCAGAAGAGGGCACCAGACCTCATTACAGATGGTTGTGAGCCACCATGTGGTTGCTGGGAATTGAACTCAGGATCTTTGGAAGATCAGGCAATGCTCTTAACCGCTGAGCCATTTCTCCAGGCCCTGGGGGCCTTTCTTAAGTGAGGCAGTGTTTGGGCAGGGAGAGAAGAGGGAGGGAGATTGAGGTGGAGCTTCCATTGGAACATCCCAGACTCTTTGGGTATCTGGATGCCAGGGACTAGGGTGGAGCTTCCACCGGAACAGTATGGAATGTCGAAATGCTGAAACTCAGCCAAGCAGCAATGGTCACCATGGGGGCCATGCCAGGGACATCCATGTTAAAGACTCCAAAGAGTGGCAAAGCCTTTCCCCTCTGTGATGTTTAGAGAGATGGCAGAGTCTTCCTCAGATCTGAGTGTGAACAGTGACAGTGTGTGCAACATGTCCACCATCACTCCCCCGCCCCGTGTTTAAGGCTTTAGATTGTTCCCCACAGAAACTGTTCCGACTGAGTGAGATTAGCTGAACCTGCCTCCTTTTCAGCTGTGTTTAACAACCCTGCTTCACTGTCCTACGGTACACAGGAAACACTTTGAGGGAGTGCTGCTGCTACTCCCTCAGAGCTACCCAAGACCCCCTAACCCCTTCTTCTGTGTCAGTGAGTCTGCCTGTCTGTCTGTCTGTCTGTTTGTCCTTTCTTCATTCTCTTATCCACCCTAGTCAGGGTTCTAGGACTCAGGCCATGCAAGCATGCAGGACCTCCCTCATATTGCTTTGGTCAGTGTTTACCACAGTAACTAACATATAACAAACATTAGAGTGCCACTAGCCGAGCACATACTTTATGACATCCACCTACGCCAAGATTTGGTGACTAAGACTCTGAGAAGCACAGGCTATAAAAGTGAAAATGGAGGATGAGATTGCATCAAACTAAAAGCTCCTGCAGAGCAAAAGAAACAGTCAACAAAGCAAAGAGAGGGCTCACAGATTTGCCGGAAAGTGTTTGCAAATATATCTCTGATAAGGAGTTAATATCCAGAATATAGCCGGGCAGTGGTGGCGCATGTCTTTAATCCCAACACTCGGGAGGCAGAGGCAGGTGGATCTCTGTGAGTTCGAGGCCAGCCTAGTCTACAAGATCTAGTTCCAGGACAGGCTCCAAAGCTACACAGAAACTGTCTTGAAAAGCAAAACAAACAAAAAAATTCAGAATATAAAAACCTCACCAAACATGAAAAAAAACTTTTAATTAAAAAATAGAAGATATGAATACACATTTTTCAAGAGAAAATGCAAATGGCCAATGGTAAACAAAAATGTCGCAGCACCCCTCCTCATTAAAGCATATAAGTCCAAGCCCATTAGGTGCTATTTCACTCCACTAAGACAGCAAAGTCTGTCTTCTATGGCCAAGAATGTAAACATATTAGAAAATAGTATCCTGGGTTGGGTCAGACGGTGGTGGCGTGTGCCTTTAATCCTAGGATCTCTATGAGTTTGAAACCAGCCTGGTCTACAGAGTGAGTTCCAAGACAGGTAGAAGGTAGGGCTGTTATACAGAGAAAACTTGTCTAGAAAACAGAGAAACCCTGTCTCGAAAAACAAAAACAAAAAACAAACAAACCAATAAAAAGTTGTAGTACAGGGCTGGAGATATGGCTCAGAGGTTAAGAACACTGATTATTCTTCCAGAAGTCCTGAGTTCAATTCCCAGCAACCACATGGTGGCTCACAACCATCTGTAAAGAAATCTGGTGCCCTCTTCTGGCCTGCAGGCATACATGCAGGCAGAACACTGTAAACAAAGTAAAAAAAAAAAGTTGTAGTGCATGTACACAGGGGAATAATGTTTAGTCAATAAAAAATGAAATGCCATCAATCATTTTGGTTTTTTGTTGTTTTACAACAATCTTTTATTTTACATAACAATCCCAGTTCAGTTCCCTCTTCCTCTTCTCCTCCCACTTTCCCCCCCCATCCCCCCCATCCCCCCACCCACCCATTCCTCAGAGAGGGTGAAGTCTCACACAGGGAGTCAACAAAGTCTGTCACATCAAGTTGAGACAGGACCAAGGCCTTCCCCACTGTATCTAGCCTGAGCAAGGTATTCCTCCATAGGGAATAGGCTCCAGAAATCCAGTTCATGCACTAGGGATAAATCCTGGTTCCATTGCCAATGGCCCCACAAACTGCCCAACACAGCTGTCACCCACATTCAGAGGGCCTAGTTCAGTCCTTTGCAGGTTCCCCAGCTGTCAGTCCAGAGTCAGTGAGTTCCTACTAGCTCAGGTCAGCTGTTTCTGTGGTTTTCCCATCATGGTCTTGACCCCTTTGCTAATGTTATCACTCCTCTCTCTCTCCAACTGGAGACTGGACTCTGGGAGCTCCACCCAGTGCTTAGCTGTGGATCTCTGCATCTGCTTCTGTCATTTACTGGATGAAGGTTCTATGGTGACAGTTAAGATAGTCATCAATCTGATTGCAGGGCAAGGCCAGTTTAAGCACCCTCTCCACTACTGTTTAGGGTCTTAGCTGGGGGTCATCCTTCCGGATTCCTGGGAATTTCCCTAGTACCAGGTTTCTAGCTAAACCCATAATGGCTCCCTCAATCAAGGTATCTCTTTCCTTGCTCTCCCTCTCTGTCCCTCCCCCAACTGGGCCATCCCATAGACTCCTGTTCTCCTCCCTGCTCCTCTTCTCCTCTCCCCCTCCCCTTGAGGTTAGTAGGATTTGCTGCAGGAGGCAAAGGCAAGAGGATTACTGCCGTCATTTGTAAACAACAGGGATAAATCTGGAGGCCATTATGCTAACTGAAATGAACCAGTCACAGACAGAAGTCACACTGTCTCACACAGTGAAATTCAAAAGGAGTGGCTCTCTTAGAAGGGCAGACTGGGATGGTGGCTGCAAGAAGCAGAGGCCAGAGAGCATCAGCCCCTGGAGCCTGTGTAGAGGCGATTGATTGTAAGCAGCCTGGCCCGGGCTCTGAGAACCCAGCAGGGCCTCTGCAAGAGCAGTGAGCACTGTTAATCACTGAGCCATCGGTAACATTTCATATGTTTTTAGGAAAACTGGAGATCACGATCTCTCTGGAACTTATTTAATATTTTTTTTTACTCCTTTCTAGGTCACCTGCAATGGCAGGAGGAATTTTTGCTATAGACAGACATTATTTTAATGAACTCGGACAGTATGACAAGGACATGAATCTTTGGGGAGGAGAAAATGTGGAACTTTCACTAAGAGTAAGTCAGACTTCCTTTTGTCTTGTTCTATTCTGTTTCCCCACGTAGTTATATTTGTTTAGAGAGTGAGCTGATGTTTCATTTTGTATTGATGAATGGAACCCAGTTTGGTGCCTACTGGGCCAGAGCTCTTACATGAGCTCTTACCTGAGCAAGAGTGCAATCTGACTTTTCATCTAGTTACACTGTTCCCTCCATGAGCATGCCGGACAGTTCTGGAGAGACTGCAAGGGCATGAAACAGATGATGGGGCTCCCTGGAAACACTTGGTAGGGCTGTAAAGCCCCGACCATATGCTTTGTTGTTTTCATAGCATGGTGCAGTAAACTAAGAAGATATTTTAAATCTACATGGGTTCTCTAGTTGTCTTGATAGTTATATAACCCCTCCCTGTTTTGTTTTTTTATTTTCTCCCTCCTCCCTCCTCCCTCCTCCCTCCCTCCTCCCTCCTCCCTCCTCCCTCCTCCCTCCCTTCCTTCCTAGTAGCTGGTCATTTTTGTCATTGTATGAATGAAGAGACCAGAGGCCAATCTTCAGGTCTCATCCATCTTATTTTTTGAGAAAGTCACTAGCTAGAACTTGCTGATTAGGCTGCAGCCAGCAAGCCCTAGGAATCCTCCCTTCTCTACCTCCTCAGTGTTGGGATTACAAGTGTGCACCACTACACCCATGTTCTTTTTTAAGATGGGTTCTGGGGATCAAACCTTCATCCTCACATTTATGTGGCAAGCGCTATTGACTGAGCCCTCTTGCCAGCCCTAATTTTATTCCTTATTCATTTTGTCCTTTTCAGCACAGACTTGATAGGTTTATTGTGTTTACACGGGTATCTCAGCTCCTCACCTTACACATTTGCTGCTTTCATTATCCCTCCCCATTCATGCATTCCCTTCTGACCTTGGTAGTATTTTAAATACCCAGCCGCTGGCTCTCTAAGACTATTGCCCAATAAATTTTCCTCTCTTAGGACTTAACTATGAACACATTCTGTAGCCCAGGGTAGAACTACTTTTGTGAAGGTATGTGTATTTGCAAAGCAAGTGTTGGGGTCATTGAGATGATTCTGTGGGTAAAAGTGCCTGCTGCCAGCTGCCAGGTCTGCGGACCTGTGCTCAGTCCCAGGAAACCCCACAGTGAAAGGAAAGAACCAACTTCCAAAAGTTGTCCTCTGACCTCTACGTGTGACCTGGTCCATTCACCACATGTGCGTGAGGACATACACATAAACAGGTGTGCATGGTCTCTCTCTGTGGTTTTGGAGCCTGTCCTGGAACTAGCTCTTGTAGACCAGGCTGGTCTCGAACTCACAGAGATCTGCCTGCCTCTGCCTCCCGAGTGCTGATGTTGGACAGATTCTTTTTTTTTTATTTCCCTCCCAGTCTCCCTTTTCCCTCCCCCTCCTCCGACTCCTCTCCCCCTCCCTCTCCAGTCTGAAGAGCAGTCAGGGTTCCCTGCCCTGTGGAAAGTCCAAAGTCCTCCCCCGTCCATCCTGGTCTAGGAAGGTGAACATCCAAACTGACTAGGCTCCCACAAAGCCAGAACATGAAGTAGGATCAAAACCCTGTGCCATTGTCCTTGGCTCCCTCCAAGACTGAAGCTCCTTTGTTTGTTTGTTTGTAGAAAGAATTTCTTTGTAGCCCTGGCTGTCTTGGAACTTACTCTGTAGACCAAGCTGACCTTGAATTTAGAGATTCACCTGTCTGTGCCTCCCTAGGGCTGAGATTAAAGGTGTGCATCACCACGGCCCAGTTTAAGACTGAACCTCTTTAGATATAGATGCCAGTTTAAATCCTGCTGGGTTCTCGGATATGAAAACAAAGAGTTCTCATACATTGACATCTTGGAAGTTTCAGCAGATTTCCAACACTTTGCTCCTATGTGGACTATCTATCCACTAAGTCAATGGATTACTCTTCGTGGGTCATGTGCTCAGAATTTTTATTACTAAGGATATTAGGAATTAGTCAGTTATTACCTCAGTATCTATCAGTTATTAACACAGTTATGCCGTGGAATGAAGCACCTCAGAAATGAATGGTGTAAAATAGTAACACTTACCTTTCTCTTGCTTATGTCCACAGTGGCTGGGGTGACTCAGCAGAGGCTGACTAGGTTGGGCTTTAGTTTCTGGCTTTAGTTGAGTTCTAGCATTATTTCCACAAGTAGGCACCATATGGAACATGTTCTTCTCACACTAAATGGCAGGAAGATAAAAGTCAAGCCAAACCACACAGCATATCCCACCTTCTGTAGTCATGATGTGACTGACATTCTCTTGGCCAGAGCCTGTAAAACACAAGTCCAGAACTGGGGTGCCCTCAGACCCAAGATGAGGGCAGGGCAATGAGCAAGGGTTTACTGACCAGAATTGGAATCTGTCACTCTGGGTTTGTGGAATGAACAACTATGTCAGTGTAAAATTGATGTGAATGAAACTCATGTTAGGAGAACAGTGGTGCCTTCTATATCAGTTAATTTTTGCCAGTAAATTTTAACTAATGTAAAAAAAAAACTGCCTCAAAACACAGGAGCTTAAAACCACAAGCAATTATTATTCCTCTCAATTTTTGGTGTTACTGCAGTAGTGCTGGCCTTGGCTAGAATGTCCCATTTCTACAGACGTTGCTACCTGTGTGTTCACCTGGCACCCACCTCGAATGACTGACTAGTATCATCTGGGGCAATGAGAACTACTTGGCCATTTGTCAAGCAGGCTGGCCCAGACTCCCTGACACTGAAGAGGTCACAATGTTCTCAAAAGTTACAAGAGGGCTCAAATCTAAGAAGCTGTAAGCACCTTTCAAGCACCATGCACTCTGGGCAGGCACTCTCCCAACTGGCTTCATCCCTAGTCCTGCTTCTTGTTCACTCTGGATTTGTCCCTAAAGGAGACACATCCATATGGAGATTCCCTTTCCTATGCCACTGTCTATGTCTTCCTCTGTCTCCTAGTTTGTGATCCTGTCAGTAGCGGGGTACCTTCATTAGGGAGCATCTGTGACCAACCTAGTGATGAGGCTTAGCTGGCCGAGTGTGTGCCTAACATGCCCAAAGCCCTGGGTTCAACCCCAACCCCACAGAAAGCCAGGCATGGTGGCACAGGCCTTGTGATCCCTGCATTTCTGGCAGGAGGATCAGAAGTTCAAGTTCATCCTCAGCTATATAGGGAGTCTGAGGCCAGCCTTGGCAAAATAAAACAGCAGACTAAACAAGCAGCTCTCAGGACCTGTGGATCTGGGCTAAAATCTACTGCTTTCTTCAACTTGTTTCTTGACAAACATTTTGAAATGTTTTCAGTTTTATTATTTACTTTTTAAAAATAAAATAAGTTGACTTTTTTTTTTTTATTTTGGTTTTTCGAGACAAGGTTTCTCTGTAGCTTTGGTGCCCATCCTGGAAATAGCTCTTGTAGACCAGGCTGGCCTTGAACTCACAGAGATCCACCTGCCTCTGCCTACCAAGTGCTGGGATTAAAGGCATGCGCCACCACCACCCCTACACACCCCTCAATAAGTTGACTTCTGTTTACTGTTCTGTGCATTTACCTATAGCCTCTTGAAACTAATGAACCTCTCAAACAAACAACATAGAAAAGGGCTGGAACTCAGCAGTAAGAGCACTGGTTGCTCTTCCAGAACACTAGGATTCGATTCACAGCACCTGCTTCGCAGCTCCCTACTAACTGTAAGTCTAGTTCCAGGGAATCCAATGACCTCTTCTGCCCTTTGCAGATACCACACACATATGTTACACAAACACATATGCAGACAAAATCTCAGACACAAAAAAATAATTTAAAAGGTGGAAAAATTAGTATCATGGTAATTTTTTTTTGTTTTGTTTTTCGAGACAGGGTTTCTCTGCGGCTTTGGAGCCTGTCCTGGAACTAGCTCTGTAGACCAGGCTGGTCTTGAACTCACAGAGATCCGCCTGCCTCTGCCTCCCGAGTGCTGGGATTAAAGGCGTGCGCCACCATCGCCCGGCAAGAGCAGTGTGTATAATGCTGGGGATTTAACCCAGGACTTAGAGCGCGCCAGACAAACAGACTGAGTCACATCCCAGCCCCACACAATATGTCCCAGTGAAGTCTTAACTTCCCATAACTGTTTCATAATGATTAAGTGAATTTCCTCAGAAAAATATCTGCAAAATCAGAACTTACAGTCTTGATGAGTTAGCACAGAGGGTCATCCAATCTGAGCGTGCATTTGAATCACAGAAAGAGGCTGTGAAAAGGCAGAAGTCTCTGAGACCACAGGCTCTGAGTCAGTAGTTGTCAGGGGCCCATGGGTTTTCCTTTTTTATCAAGTTTCCAGGCAATGTTGGTGTCACTGGAGTCCAGGAAACAGAATGACTACAGCAAATATATCATATGGGAGCTGGTGAGATGGCTCAGTCCGTTACGGCATTTGCCACTAAACCTGAAGACCCAAGTTAGATCCCTGAGATCCACACAGCAGACAGGACCACCTTCTGCAAAGTCGTCCTCTGACCACATGCCCATTTTGACACATACACCACTCCCCAAATAAAAAGATGAAAAAGTTTTGAAGATTAATGTGTGTGTGTGTGTGTGTGTGTGTGTACATGGAGGGGAGGCATGCATTGCTACAGACTATGTATGTAGGTCAGAGAACAACCTACAGGAGTCCCTCCCTCCTCTACGGGGTTCTAGGATCAAGCTCAGGTGGTCAGGCTTGGTGGCAGGAATTTCTACTCACGAAACCATCTTGCCAGCCCCTCTGTGTTATCTTTTACAGTGACGAAATATAAACTCCTAAAATTTCCAAACGAGATTTTTTTTGATGTGTGTATAAATGTGTATGCACGTGTGTGTGTGTGTGTGTGTGTGTGTGTGTGTGTGTGTGCAGGCACATGCCTATGCATTCGGAAGTCAGGAGGATGTCAGGAGTCCTCTTCTATGATGCTGCACCTCTATTCCTTTGAGGCAGATATCTCTCTGAATCAGAAGCTCACTATTTTTCTGCTAGGCTGGCATCCACTAACCCCCAGTGAGCCTCCTGCCTTCATCTCCCAGGTTGCGGGTGTGTGCAGTCATGCCCAGCTTTTTGCATGGATACCAGGAGTCCAACTCAGATCCTTGTAGGGAAGTGCTTTTAACCCACTGAGCATTGTTCCTAGCCCAGGGCCTTTAAAACAGTTTTGCATAACCCACACGAAAGACAGTAAGCTATCTTAACGTGTAGTTTCACATGTCTACACACATACTTGAATTCTATTGACTAACCCCAGGTGTGCGGATGTACGCTTTCCTACATGGACAATTTTCAATGACCATATCTTGCTTTCACACAGTGAATGGAGTTATTACAATATGTGCTGTGAAGTGTTTTTATCCATAAACTCAAGTAACTGAACCCAGCCAGAAATTGTCTTTCTCTTGGTGTTGCGTACACCTGGCAACATGCAGCGGGAAAGAAAGAGAATCATTGGCACTCAGAACTCAGGTTCTCAGGCTAGACTTCCTAAATTTGAACCTGAGCTCGGCCACTCAATTGTTCCACATCACTGGGCCAACTTCTTAATCAAACTGTGTGTTAATTTTCTTATCTGTAAATGGGGAGGGGCAGTCACAGCACCTATGTTAGAAGACTCTAATGAGTTTATGAAATCTATTACCTAAAATAAAAGGAATACATATTAGAGATTAGGACTAGCAGTGTAGCTCATCTGGTAGAATGCTTGCCTACCTAGTATGAACGAAGACTTGATTGAAGCCCAGCATGGTATAAACCAAGCGTGGTGGTGCACCACTGTACTCCCAGCACTAGGGAAGAGGAGGCAGGAGGATCAGAAACTCAGGGTCATTCCCTAAGAGTGGGTTTGAGGCCAATTTGGACTACACACACATCTCAATAAGCAGTGTCAAACAAATACTAGTTGTGTGTGTGTGTGTGTGTGTGTGTTCTAAAGCAGCTGCTAGTTACTAGTAAAATAATTATGATCTTGTCTAGATTTGGATGTGTGGAGGCCAACTCTTGATACTTCCTTGCTCTCGGGTTGGACATATCAGTAAGGCACAGAATCTCAATAAGCCTGCACTCGAGAAAGCCTTGTCGTGGAACTTACTGCGAGTGGTTCATGTCTGGCTGGACGAATACAAGGTGAGCGATACCTCTGATTTGGGAGAGCAGGTTCTGGGCTGCTCTCAAGACTCTGCCACCTTTCCAGATCCAAACTGTATTCTTTCCTGCTTGTAAACTAATGGAGCCCCTTCAATTTCTCACCCACTCGTGAAGAGTGGAGCCGGATTGGTGAACAGTCCAGCTCTCAACTGGTTAGCCCTAAGCGGCTGTCCTTGCAATTTAAGTTTGAATTTTAGGAAAATTCAAGTCTCTCAGAAGTAAATCACCCTGCAGCATTCTTCCCCACAGCTAATCCGTTTATCCAGTGGGGAATCATTCTTCTCCTCCCTGCTGCAGCGACAGGAGCAGGTTTCTTCAGCTTCCCCGACCGAGCCACTATCAGTTTCCCGGGTAATGTGGTTGGTGTCGGTCTTTGTGCCCACACGTGAATTTCTTTCCTATCGGCAGTCAAAGATTTCTATTAGCAAGCTTTGCCCCTTGGTTTATGTGTGTCCCCAAGGGTTACACCCTGTTCTCCAAGGGCACATCTCTGCCCAGATGCCACGCATAAAGAAATAATGGCAGGCCTCCTCTAAGATAAACGCATAGTATATCTCTGACAGTGTCCTGGTCTTCATCTTACGTTTCTGTCCTAGTCTGCTTTTCTGCTGCTGTGATAAAACACTGGCCAAAAGCAACTTGGAGAGAGTAATGTCCCTTGTACTTCCACATCATGGACCACTATCCAGAGATGTCAAGGCAGGAACTCACGCAGAGAACATGGAGGCAAACTGCTTACTGGCTTCCTCTCTATGGCTTCTTCAACGTGCTTTCTCTCTCTCTCTCTCTCTCTCTCTCTCTCTCCTCCTCCTCCTCCTCCTCCTTTTTTTTTAACCACACATTTTAAAGTAAGCGCATTCATACACACCAGAACCAAGTCATCCACACAGAATGATTATACAGAAAGTACTTTTACTGTAGGTCACGAAAGACAAATGTGGTAAATTCTGACTAGTCTGAATTTAGATCTCAGAATGTCTCGCACAGTAGACAAATACACCTCTGTAAAAACAGAAGCTAAGTGCTAGCTCTGTGAATTCTCTCTTCTTCTCGTGTGGATCCATAATCGGCCACCAGCAGACAGAAAGGAGCTCAATGAGGAGACTCCACATGCTTTCTTATCCAGCTCAGGACCACCCCTGCCCAGGGATGGCACCACCCACAGTAGGCTGGACCTTCCTATAACAGTACTCAAGGAAATGCCCCACATGCCAATCTGATGGAGGCAATTCCTGTTTGGAGCCTATCTTCCCAGGTGACTCCAGTTTGTGCCAAGATGACAAAAAAAAGTCAGCAGTTTCTATAATTCAAGATTTTTAATTATGAATGTAAAAATGATATTTCTTTTATAATCAGGGAATTGTCAAGGGATTCCTGCTGAGGCAGAGGGATTGCAAGTTCAAGCCAGCCAAGGCAACTTAGTAAGACCCTGTCTCTAAAACAGAGAAGAATGATGGAACTTAAGAGATGGCTGAGAGGTTAAGAGCATATAGCTCTAGTAGAAGACCTGAGTTCAGTTTTCAGTATGCATATCCAGGTAGCTCACAGCCATTGTTAAGTCCAGCTCCAGGAGCTATGGCCTCACTTCTGGTCTCTGAAGGCACTTGAACTCAGGTATACATACCTCCACAAAGACACATACACATAATTAAACTAAATGTTCTGGCATGGTGGTATATTAAAGGACTAGCATTCCAGAGCAGAGGCCGATCTCTGTGAGTTCAAGGCCAGCCAGAGCTACTTAAGGAGACTCCTGTCTTAGAAAAAGAAATCTTTAAAAACAAGGAAAGAGGAATATAATGGATACACGTGATGTATTTAGTAGCTATAGTTCTATACAGCACTGCAAACACATAAATTATAGATAACATGCCAAAAAAGTCTCCATATATTAGATATAATTAAGCTGTGTATTTCTCCTAATCTTTTTTTTTTCTTTTTGGTTTTTCGAGACAGGGTTTTTCTGTAGCTTTGGAGCCTGTCCTGGAACTAGCTCTTGTAGACCAGGCTGGCCTCAAACTCACAGAAATCCACCTGCCTCTGCCTTCCAAGTGCTGGGATTAAAGGCATGTGCCACAACCTGCCCAATGTTGTTTATTGTTTAAGACAGGGTTTCTCTGTAGTTTTGGAGCCTGTCTTAGAACTAGCTCTGTAGACCAGGCTGGCCTTGAACTCAAAGAAATCCACCTGCCTCTGCCTCACCGCCCATTTTTGGGATTAAAGGTGCTGCCATCACCGCCCAGCTAAAGATAGAGGATTTTAATCTCACAGAAAACTGCTACACAGCAAGAGGAATGAGCATTTTTAGTTCCAGTAATGAAAACATGTCTTGATGTTTGCCATCATGACATGATTACCAAAGCTTTTGTTGCTGTTGTTTAACAAAATGACTCTTTGTTTTCATTTAGGACAACTTTTTTTTTCAAAGACCTTCTTTGAAATATGCATCCTATGGAAACATCAGCGAGCGTGTTGAATTAAGGAAACGACTGGGTTGCAAGTCATTCCAGTGGTATTTGGATAACATCTTTCCCGAGCTGGAGCCATTTATACACACTGATAAAAAGAAACGAAACAATTTTCTTTAATGAAGGGTGAACAAGTCCCCTCGCTCTTCAACATATTGGCACCACAGGACAAATGTGGAACACCATGGAGCTGTGTGAAATACAATGAGAAATACAATCAGAGTGGCCAGTCTCTCGAGTGCCTTTCTTCACCTCTAATGACAGTTCCCCCTTTGTTGCCCATCTGCCATCGAAGTTCTGGGGAGAAGGACCTTTACAATAGAAACGTAAGCTCTCTCATGGTTAGGTTGCTGGTATATGATTGACCCAGATAAAATATATTGATGATGATTATCTGACCACTTCACTTGGCTGTGATGGTCCACAGGCGTCTGCTCTGCTCTTGAGGAACTTCACCAGTCTCATGGGCTGGCATGATTGCCTTAGGAAAATGTTCACAGAGAGCCATGACTGATGTACAGTGGCTGAGTTGGATCAAACTCCTTTCTTGTAGCCAGTGTAGAGTCTGGGGCTGCCGCCTGCTTGTTTGGGTTCCTAAGAGTGATGTCCAAATCACGTAGGCTTAAGTTCTCCAGGCAGGTTCCTCATATGTTCCTGATGGCTGCTCTGTCCCGAGTCACTCTTCTTTTCTGCATCTTTCATGTCTGTCCTCAGTCCTGTGACCTACAGCTTTCTGGGTGCTTCTTGGATTATGTATGCTCTAACCAACTCTTTTTTTTTAATATTTTTTTAAGATTTTATTTATTTATTATGTATACAACATTCTTCCTCCAGGCCAGAAAAGGGCGCCAGATCTCATTACAGATGGTTGTGAGCCACCATGTGGTTGCTGGGAATTGAACTCGGGTCCTCTGGAAGAACAGTCAATGCTCTTAACCACTGAGCCATCTCTCCAGCCCTCTAACCAACTCTTAATTGTGTAGATAGGGCTGGGACAGAGCTGCTGGCTCCCCATCTACCATACCCAGAGATACCTCAATGCTTAAAGGACTTCTTTGGGGTTTGAGGAATGCTGTAAGGTTCATCCTGTTGGAGGTGAGTCTAAGAAGGCCAGAGAGAAGCAATTCACAAAATCTACAAAGAAAACGAGGGAAGAAATACAGGGAAAGGACAAAAAGGGGTGATGTCTTACAGGATCTCTGAATGTAGCCTATGCAAACACAAGCTATCGTTTCCTCAGCACCGCCATAAAGTTCCTGAGGGCTTTCTAGCAGGAGCGAGCATCCAGAATGGGGGTTCACTGTTGTCCTCTATTTTGTAAGCTTTACCCCCTCAGGGATACTAGGTGAAATGGTTAATCTTCATTCTTACTTTGACAGGATTTAGAGTCACCTAGAGGCACACCTCTTCTGGGTACGTCTTCTGAGATTGTTTCCTGAGAGGTTTAGCTGAGTAGGGAAAACCCACCGTAAATATGGTGGCTATAACACACGGAGCAGGGACCAGATTCAATAAGAAAGGAAAAAAAAAGGGGAAAGCAAGATGCATGTCAGCCTCTTCTGCCTCCAAAGGATGCAGTCCTGACAAGCTGCCTTCTACTTCTGCTACCATGGCTTACCCACCACAGGGGAGGCCAGACCCTCAAATTGTGTGCCAAAATAAGCCCTTAGCTTGCTTTCGTCAGGTACAATGCCACACACTGTGATGGTGCACGAATGCACTAGTGCTCTTGCAAGAGAGGGCCGTCCCTGAAACAGCCACCAGTTCCAGTTAAGGTGAATTGCTGTGTGGACAGCAATGGAAACTATGAGCACTGGATAGCAACTGTCTGACTGAGGGCGGTGGCCATGGAAGGGCACAGGTAAGGGTCATTAGGACCTCAGTCCTGTGGAGAGACCTTGATAGAATGGCATAGCATCCTAAACCCTGACAATGCTGATAGCTATTTGGCAGGATCATGTATGGGTTCATTTTGAGCCACTGTGACCACAACTTAAAGGGACAAGAGTTAATGTTGGCTCATGGTGGCTGAGGGTTCATTGTGTGGTTGCTTGGCCATTGCACTTGGACAATGACAGTAGTGTGTGGGGTTAGTTACTTTGTGATGGACAGCTCAGAGGAGACTTGGACCACTGGACCAGGTAAGATCCTCAAGGGGGCACCCTCCCCATCCTCCTTGCTCCAGACTGGCCCCACCTCCTGAAGTTTTCCAGAACCTTTGGAAATTGCACCACTGGCTGCACCAAGCTCTACACATACAAGCCTTGGGGGGGTGGGACACTTAAAGCCAGCACAGCTGGTTAATGCTAGCTGGAGTGATTTATTGATTTGGTTCAAGTGATGCTGTTTTCTTAATAATAAGGGATGCAGAATTTCCTCCCTACATGTGTCCGGTTTTTCTACCAGACACCACGAGACAAGGTTAAGGTCTTGACTGAATAGCATTTATTTCAGAGGTGACAGGATTCAAGATTTAGGTATCTGTCAATATAATGCAGTATTACTGGATCAAAGACCAAAACCCTTACCATTCTGTTAGAGCTGCTAAATTCTCTCTAGCCAGGTTGTGCCTCCTTCACATTCTTCCTTTGAACAAGTCGCCGGCCCCTCCATCTCCCCTACACTTCTCTTAGGAGTGACAGGGAACGTTCCTGAGAGGACAGCTCTACGGCCCCTGTGGGACAGAGCTCAGCTCCGCGCTGGCCTGGGAGGAGCCGGGGCCGCGTGACGCCAGGCCGCGGGCTGTGACGTCATCCTCGGAGGCGGGGGCGCGCGTGGCGTGACGCGAGCAGCAGAGCCGGCCTCAGCCAGGCTGCGTGTCCTGGGCCGTGTCGCGCGCCGCGGTTCGTGCGGCTCGGCCCGGGCTGTGGCGGGAGCGAAGATGCCACAGCCCGCGCCCCGGAGCGCCGCCATCCCAGGCTGCCGGTGTCGCGGTGAGTAGCCGGCCCGAGGCGCCTGACCCCGCGCGGCCTCCGTCGGCGCCCGAGCGTGGGCCGCGGCCCGAAGCGCTGAGGCTGCTGTAGCAGGCTGGGTGGCCTGGGAGGCCCGCGCTGCTTCTGGCTTCAGCAGCGGGGATGGGCATTGCACGGGGCCAAGTTCTCGGTGGCCGTAACTTCCGGGCGGTGTTGTGATTCACCAGGAAAATGTCGATTTTATCATTATTGTTGTTAGTCGGTCAGTGCGGGTCAGGATTTGGACCGCGACTACGCGTGAGGCTGGAAAGACAGGACACTTGTTTGCTGCTTGTTTTTCTTTCTCTTCCCGCCTCCAATGTGCTTGTTAAAGAAATTGTCTTGTATAGTTTCTATGCACCCAAAACTAATGCATTTTTGGATAAATAGGAAAACCAGCAAGTCCAACCCCTTTCGGTTAGATCTCCCCCTTTCATGATACTAACGTGCTCATGATGAAAGAGTTGGTCTAGTCCTTTCTGTTTAGGAGAGCCATCAGGGTCAGGCTGGTTGGTTGATTATCTTCAGACATAACCGGAGACTCGGGGGATGCTTCTCAATCTGTGCATCCACCAAAATAGAGTTACTTATGTAACAGGAGTAGTTCCGATTTGGAAAAAAAGACACAAAAACTTATTTCTTTATTTTTTTTTTTAAAATGAAATACTGCTTTAAGAAAAAATAGGAAATAACCCATTCTTACTCTCAGTTTCTGTGTGCTCTGCGGGTGAGATGCCAGCAAACAGTAGTCCATACTTTTCATTTTGGACAAGTGTCCTGCAATCTTACTTAGATTTTTAACATTTCTGTGCAGTTTCTTGCAAGTTTTCATAGTTTATACTAGTTTTTCTTGTAAAGCATACACAACATGGATTAAATATTATTTTAATTAAACAATATTGCTTTAATTTTAGTAGTATAATTGGATGGCATCAAGCACATTCATAATGCTATGTTACAGTCAGTGCCATTTATTTCCATAACATTTATATCACCCCTTCAGTCTCTCTGAATTTACCTGGCTTAGATACTTCATTGTAAGTAGAATCATTTGTCTCTTTCCTTTTATCCGTCTTTAAGTGTATCTGTTTGAGTCTCTGTGATGGCTATTCTTGGTTGTCAGCTTGATTACATCTGGAATTAACTAAATTAAGTCATTTGAATGGGGGAGTCACTTCTAATCAGAATCTTTGAGGAGGAAGACACGCCTTTAGTCCAGATATTTTGGGGCGGGAAGATCCACCTTTAATCTGGGCCACACCTGCTGCTGGCACCCTATATAAAGGGCGTGGAAGAAGGAAGCTTCTCTTCTACTTGCTCTCGCCCTCACTAGCAAGTCCATTCCTTCATTGGCATCAGAGCCTGCTTCTTCGGGATTCCAGTGGATCCTGAAGAGCAGCTGAGACCTCCCGCCCTGAGGACTGAACGACTACTGGATCCTTGGACTTTCCCTTGTAGACAGTAGTTCTTGGACTAGCTGGAGCAGAGCCTGTAAGTCATTCTCATAAATCCCCTTCTGCATATATAAAAAGAAAGTTGTTCTCTAAGTTTTGTTACTCTCGAGAACCTGATAATACAGTCTCTGCTTTCATTCTTTGGAATGCATACATAAGGTTTGAATGTGAAAAGCTTTGAGGACTTTTTTTTTAAACCTGTGCTGATGGCTGAATGTGGCTTTACCTCAACACTCACCTGGATTGGCCCTCAGTAAATTTTTTAAATTAATTACCTTTTATGTATATTTTGTCTGCATGTATGTCTATGCAGCATCTGTATGCAGTGTCTGTAGAGACCAGATCCCCTGGAACTGGATTTACAGACAGTTATCTCCCATGTGGGTGCTGGGAATTGAACCCTGATCTTCTGGAAGAGCAACTAGTGCTCTTAACCACTGAGCCATTTCTCCAGCCTGGCCCTCAGTAAGCTTCATGGCACTTCATATTGCTTGTCAGCATACCCTCTAGATGTTCCTTGGGACCCTTCTGAGATGTTTCATAGGTTCACAGTGTCCTCAAGTGTCCCCAGGTCTGCGCCTGTTGTACCTTCATTACTTAAAGCTCCCCTGCACCATCGCGGTTGCTATGTAACTTCACCTGCAGTTCCCACATAAGTGAGACCTGGATTCCAGTGTGAGGTCATTTCCCTCTCACTGTTCCTTGAATGTAGCATCTCTAAAACCCAAACCGCTCCTGACCCTTGTTCTGTGTCGGCAAGAGTTGAAGCTTGGTACTATTGCCTCTTCTTCCTGTGGGGCTTCCCTTCGTGCTGACAAGTGCAGATTGCTGATCTTTCTCTACCTTTCTGCTCATTTTCACAGCCCAAGGCCAAGCCCAGGTGGCTTCTCCGTGGGATTGTTCTCACTGGTAGCTTGATTCTACCATATCCATCCTTCTATCCCAAACGGTTTTGTACACAGCTGTCAGGACTTTGTTCCTAAGATGGGTAGAAGAGTTGATTAAAGACATTAGCTAGCTATTTTCACCCCACGTTCCAATAGGGTCTCACTCTGTAGCCCAGCTTCCCTCCTGCCGGGATTGTAAGAATGAGCTGCCACGCCCAGTTCATTAAATCTCAGCCTGTCTTCCTACAATTAGTCATTCAGCTTCCACTAGCCTTGAAGCCCTCACAACCCATTGGTGAGTTAACCAATAACCTTTCAGGTAGGTCTGGAGAGATAGATGGCTCAGCGGTTAAGAGGAAGTAGTGTTCTTGCGGAGAAACCCAGGTCAGGAGCCCGGGGCACGCAGGCAGATTTCTGTGAGTTCGAGGCCAGCCTGGTCTACAAGACCTAGTTCCAGAACAGGCTCCAAAGCCACAGAGAAACCCTGTCTACCGGCACCTGTATGCACATGTACATACTCATCCCCACATACATATGGTTAAAACTAAAAATAAAAAATTGTTTGGGTAGTTCTGCTTCCTTTTACCAAAAGTAACATCCGGGAACATAGCCACAGTGTCGATGTTGGTGTAGTTAAGGCAGAGTGGTCCTGTCTTACAGTGATTCCACCCTCACTTTTAGAATTCTCTGAACCCTGGGTCTCTAACCTCTGGCAATCACTAATCTCTCTCATCTGCATAGTTTGGTCATATCAAGAGTCTTACATAAATTTAATCATCAAGTATCTATCTTTAGGGATTTGATTTGTTCATTTCACCAGTCAGTCCAATCTCTTGCATTTATCAGTTGGAAAAATGCTGTTTTTAGGGGAAATTTGGGGCTGAGTGACTTGTTGAGGACTGGCCTGTGCCTAATAGAGATACATAGTACCCCTGGTCTTTACCCATCCTAATGGGACTCCTTCTCAACCCTAATGGGACAACCAAAAAACATTGCCAGGTTTTATAAAAGTCCCTGGGGTGCTACATTTCTTTCCCAGATAACAGCTGTTTTTCCCAGCCCTTGGCTTGAGGATCACTGGGATTTGAGAATGAAAAGTAGACCTGGCGCTAGAAGACAGGTTTTACAGCACAGTCCCTCAGCTGGACTTGTGCACACTCTGCGTCCCGCTATTCAGATACACACTTGTAAACTACAGAGAACGCTGCATGACATTCTGTGGAAAAGGTAGTCGTGAGGAAGGAATAGTTGGTATGTATACTGTAAGATGCACTAGAATCTGTGCTCTTTGACCCCATGGACAAGAGTTAGCTAAAGGCCAGATTGTATATGTGCTGTATATGCCTACCCTCTGAGTCAGACAACCACATCTTCAAGGAGTTGAGCTGTGCCTGCTTGAAAAAGGTCATCCCAGCTGGTCATTTTTAGTACATCTCTTAGAGGGGTGGGGACAGCCAGCTGAGTATCCAGGGGCTCCACACCACCTCTGGTAGGCAACTCTGCACTAATCGCCCTTGGGAGAGGCTAGAGTACATTGGCCAGGGAAGACGACTAGGGGAGGGGGACTCCCTCTATGCACCTATGGGAAAGCCATCACGCTTCAGTAACCCCTTTGGAAGCTTAACAGACTCATTTGCTCCCCAGAGTGAATCTTAGTGGAACTGTGCCTCAGTTTTTCATTGGGACCTTAACAGGAAGAGGGAGATGTTGCTTACCTCTCTCCCCAGGGAAATAATTTTAGCCATAGTATGCATGTTACAGCCCTGAGAAAACAAGGAACCCATCATCTTAACATAAGCAGTAAATACCAGGGTACTTTTTTTTTTATTTTTTATTTTTTGGTTTTTCGAGACAGGGTTTCTCTGTGGCTTTGGAGCCTGTCCTGGAACTAGCTCTGTAGACCAGGCTGGTCTCGAACTCACAGAGATCCGCCTGCCTCTGCCTCCCGAGTGCTGGGATTAAAGGCTTGCGCCACCATCGCCCGGCCTAATACCAGGGTACTTAAGGGAACAATTATTGCTCATAATTTTTGCTCATAAATGTAGTTTTAAACACTAAAAATTAAGTTTGAAATCTATTAATAGTTCTAATCTTCATCCCTTCATTGTTTATCTTGTTGGTTAATTGAAGCAATTTCAGGGAGCATATAACTTGTTGATTCGCAGGATAAAATAATCTCTACTTTGACCCCATTCTCAAGCCCTAATTTTGGAGTAGCTTTAGATTTATAGGAACTGTGGTAACATGAAGCATTCCTGTGTGCTGTAATGGTTCCAGCGAGGTAGCAGTAGACTCTGCTCAGGCTGCAGCACCTTCTTACTGTCTGCCTGTCTTGTGGTGACTGAGGACTGCTGCTGCAGAGTGCTCAGAAGAGACTGCAGTGCCTGCCCTCTGCCTGCCCTGGCTCACTGACCTGCTGGGTGTCCCGAGCCTTCTGTTTCAAGGGGTTTTGCTGGCTGCCTGTGTCCCCAGGTTCCTGTTCTTTGGTGAGTTTGCTTCTGTCTCTCAGAATCTGTGTGTTTCTTCTGCAGCTGAGCTATATTAGTACTGTAGTATTTGTGTTCTCCATGGCTTTAAGGAATGTTGTTTTGTTTGTTGTTTGTACTAAGCTGAATTGTCTAAGCTAGCCTTGAGCTCTGCA